AGTCTGTTACTCTGCCCTCTACCTGTGCATGCGTACTGGCTCGCGTGTGTGCTCCGCCGCGTGACCGTGACGCCTTGCATAGACCAACCACCACTCGCCGCACACTACACTCACAAAGCACTCAAATGACCGGCCCCCGTACGTTGTAGGTAGGGTGCCACAACTTGGCGAACTGAAAGGCAGTTAATAAAATGTCATTTTTTATTAACCCTCTAATGCATAAAAGCGCTTACCTGGTCTCAAGGATGTACTCAACAATCCACTGCGGTATTTTTTCCTCTACTTATCAAAATCCCCAAATAGTTACTTGTCGATTCCTAGAGTTCCGTATATAGGAGCTTTCTGTCTACGGTCCTTAATTCCAAGGGTTGGCTATCGGCACGCAACATAGCTGTGTGTGAGGTTATGTGTAACCATAACACACTTTCACGTTCGTAGCGTTTCATGGATCAGGAACTTCGGTTGTTACCATTTTCATCTGATGCGTAAGAGTACCATATGCTGCTACACAACAGCTTGTGTTGTCTTAGTCATGCCCTATTGAAGTTTGTGGCAGGCAACAATTCCATTAACTTACATAATATTATTGACCATGGCAACAAAGCGGGTTATGCGTTTATATAATGAGATCTAACTTACTTTCATCCCATGTTGGAATTTGGGTTTTATCGTGACAGATTCGTGGAACACTACGTACGTTCCATGGATTAGTTTGACTGGCTGCCTTGTTTCCGAGCCGTCCTCGGTCGGTGTTAAGCAACTCACATATATGCAGAGGCGGTGGATCGGCCGCAACCCAGAATCGAGGCTGGCAGCGTGTGTGTGACTTACGGCTGGTGGCTGCACGTACTATGGGTGGCGTCAACGGGAATGAAGTAACACCCAGTGTTGATAAACTGTCATAGAAATAGTCGGGTTGATATTCTTATTCTTCCGGCAATTTACACTTCCGTTAATCTAGCAAATCCCTTACGCTGCATCAACTTGACCTGGCAAGCGTACTCGGGTGACGAACAATCCGTTCCCGTTAGATAATGCCACGAGCAAACAGACCGGTCAAAAGCCGCATTTGTAAGGTATTATCAATTACGTGCTTCATGTAGATCTGACTAACAAAATCTCCCCATGGACTGATTCACCCTATGTTTGTCGAAAAGTACGGACTAAGCAAGCCTCTCACTTGTCCTTGGCAAGTTGTACTCACGCTACATTAATTACCATTGTTGTTGTTATCATCCTCCAGTGGAATTCCTGATCGAAGCTAGGAACTGGACTAAGATAGGGCTAAAACTCTCCGTGTATATAGGTGTATAAGTTCAGTTGAGGGACAGCAAATCCTTATCCGTACTATCACCAAGATTGCCAAGTGTTTTAGCTGGCAGCATGCAAACATCTACCGAATTCGCTATACCTGCTGAACGAAAGGAAGCTAGATGATTCAGGAAGATTACATGGTGACCATCACAACTCAAGCTAGGTAATGAACCAGTGAAACCCAAAATTCCATAGATGCCCAGTTATATCTGTAGGAGTTATTAGCATTTCCCAATCCGCAATTTCAGTGACGAGGCAATACCAACACTTGACGCCTATGTAAGGTGTGGTTTTTAGTTCTGGGTCTTGGACAACTTTTGTTAGCTGGCGTATCTGAGGTTAATCATAACAAAACACGCTACTGACGGAAATGGAAGTGATAAATCATTATCTAACCTCTGCTCTGCGTACTTTATGCCTTTCCTGATGGGTCCGGTGTAACAAAAATGTTTACTGCAATATCTGACACGCATTTCGGCAGTCTGAGTAGGGGTGTCTTCACGTAAGTGCAAGCACGCAATTCTAGAGATCCAGCTTTAGAGGATACCTCATTCGACCGGTTCAGCTAGAATGTGTAACTGCTCGAAAACAAGACTCAATCGCAGGATATGATGGAATCTATAAAAATCAGTCAACTGCACTCAGGCACCAGCAAATTTATTCCTTCAGATTAGCAGACTGAGATTAAGTAATCAGTCCACCCTCGGTAGGTACATTATTTCCGGTGTATCTTGCAAACTTGTGCTAGACGCTACGCGCTCCATTCGATTTGAGGCAAACATGAGAACTGCTTGAGAGGATATCAACTAGGCGGGTGTTATCCATTCCGGTGCCGTGAAGCCTGCCAAGCGACCTGTGAAAGGCAATAACTATGGCTAGTTTCGAGTAAAAATGTTCCTCAGAACTACTAAAGTTTAGTAAATCTTGCTACTGGCGTGAGATAAGTAGTATGTGTTCATTGCTGCACACTATGATTTCCCCGTCGGTAGAATGCTGCGGCATTGGTACCCGTGATAATCCTAGGTTACAAACATTGCAACCATAATGGTTAACTTAGGGGAACACGGAGACCCGCGGCAACATAGCTGTATTAGCCCGCAAATGCTAAGCTATGTCATCTAGCGCCTTTTGCGCAAAAGTTGCCAATTTCGGTTACGTAATGCACTCATGGCACCAGCTTGTCATTCTGACGTATTCTCTATCTGAATGGATTGGATTTCTTACCACACTGTTTAGCAACAAGTTTCGCTCCAGAATGAGGCAGCTATTGCGACGGATAACATGCAAGAACGGTGCTACACAGCGGGGTTTCATTAGATACACCGTTCTTCTAAACACTCGCGTTGGTCAGACAGATGATGGACAATGGACAATGGTTTATTACGGGTAAAAAAGCATCGCTTAACAAGTCCCGTGGGATGGAAATTATTGCGAAACTCAATTGCATAATAAAGTGAAAAGCGTTGTGGTGGACTCACCATAGACTTATGTGAAATAGCGGAGATGTTCGCGTATTAAACATAAAAATCCATAAATCCAATGGTTGCTCGTTTGGCAAGAAACCATTTGATTGCGTTTTGTAGCCCCTGGCTAACAAGTCATAAAAGGAAATGTAAGTGAGACAACGCATCGTCAACACGTTTTTTAAATATCGCCAGATTGGGATTAAATATCGCGAAATTGTTGCATGGACTAATAATATACCATGAATGCTGCTTACCTTAGGTCCTTGAGCTAACATTCTCCGCCATCCACTGCTAACGTGACATCTGCCGGTGTATCTTTCCTACGTACGACTAGGGTCCTTCGTCTACACCGGGTGACCGTACTCTCCAGTAGAAGGCAATTTCAGCAACAACAGTTCCCAAGCCATAGATTTCCATCATACTATAACTAAATTACATGGTCCTACTAGATTTGTTGACCACAAAGGTACCGGTTACTAACGCGCTGAAGTTTTGTGAAACGATAGCAAATGCAAATTTACTTCAAGCAGTGTATGTAAAATTTGCACGATCACTTAGCTAGTCTGATCGCAGATGACATTGTAAACCATGCTGATTAACCCGGGTGCTCTGTTAGATCTCCAGCGAACACATTCCAAGAAAAGGGAAGGGTCTGTACACATATGCCGCTGAACGAGTCGCATTGCTATTTCTCAGCAGTTCGTTGTGATTTTACCATTCCAAAATTCCTGCTTATAGACGACGCGCTAAGGTTGCACATGTCGTAGAATATATCTACAACATTGTGGCTTCGAAGCAGTGGACACTTATTCACCTATTGAAAAGGCATATGGAGAGACACTTGATACAACTTGTGTTGACAAAATAACCAAATAACAAACACTGTTCACGTAGCAGCCGGTGGCCAAAGCAAGTAGACGTTGACCCCAGCTCTTTGACAGTATTCACTGGGTAATAGCTGCACGAAAGATGGTCTGTTTTCAACCGGTCGAAACAGTGAACTCATCCTGGAATTGGTCGCAATTTGCCGCACCTTGTGGTGGAACCAACTGAGGCCAACGAGCGAAGCAGACGACGCGGTGTTCGACCCATTCATGTGCATACGAAATGCTGATCAGTCCAGTGCCATAATAAACGGACACAAAGACACTCCTCTAAAGAGTGAGGTCGAGTATACGACGCGACCAGCGCCGGATTGCAGTTAGATGTATGCTGAGAATTATGGTGGCAGAAGCCAGAAGATGTATGCATAGCAAGCTCAAGTCTATGTATTCAGCACAGAAGAACTTCACGATAGAAGTGACGGGGCACTCAAAAACTTACAGGCTCACATATTATGACCGTCACTGAGTAGTCCCTGCCACTCCTCCACACTCAACTGCCATAATAGAAGATCACATTTGGGTACCCTACTTATGAAATACTTTGTAACGAACTCGAGCTGCTGTTCTGAAACTAGAAACGATAAACCCCTAATTTGCTTGTTTTAAACGCAAAGATTTTCATCTCTGAGCTTATGCGGCAAATGTTCGTCCCAGAAGGGATTACTCGCCTGTGACTCAGATAACAGCAGTTATGCTGGGAGAACCCCCTGTGTGTCCCGCAAATCGGGGCCACAAGCCATTCAGCATAAGGAACTCTAGTCAACTGAATCATTATTGTCTCATCATTAATCCCTTTTCAACTACCAGTACCCCTATAGCACCAACTGCAGCCATTGCGTTCCGTTTTGTTGCTCTTGTTTACCGATTATTCGTCTCGGTGGGGCTCAGTGGGGTCTCAAGCCTGTCCGAAAGGTTTAAAAACTACTTTCAGTAGTTTGACTTAGTGAAGAAGAGATTGTTCCCTAGTTGGCCATTATAACCCCGAGAAATCGGTAGGTTGTTGTTTACATACCTAAATCCTTAGGAAAGTGCTTTATCCATCACATTTGAGTTTGAGTGTAAGCAGTCTACAAAATTGCAAGAGCCCCCCCCCCACACAAGTGTTGTTGGTGTACAGAAAAGAAGCGAACGAAGGTATCGCACAAAACGTTCCCTCTATTGAGAAGGGGTTGACCATGGAGTACATACTTTTCTCACAATAAATAAGATAAAATATGGCGTAAAAGGAAATCTTTTGAGGGACGCCAAATAATAATGAGAATAAAAGTAACTAAAAATATGGGACAGATACATGCTGCCCATAAAAACAAAGATGTTCTAGGACACGCCGTCCAAAAGTGGAAAAATCAACGATAGTTACGTAAGTCGTAAAAGAAAACTGGAGGAGTTTGGTACGTATTTAACCTCCTTTTTCATTGCATACGAAATAAAGTTATAAATAATAAAGCTATAGTTCAATGTAGAGTAATAGACGTTCACCAAAACCTAGTGACTGCAGATCTGGACGGTGCACTGGGATAGTGAGAAAATACAGAATCCTCAAGTCCTGAGTGCTGAAATACCGGCGGTCCTAAATGAGAATTCAGCCCAGAAGCAGTGGAATCTTCGCCGAAACGGAGAGCGGATGAAAAGTGGTTTTCCATCTCACATATCTGTGAAGTTGGTACCGGGTTTCTAGGAATGATGCCGAAACGACCACTGGAATGACTGCTCGTGGGAAATGCATCGTCTTGGTTGGGTTCGGCGAATTGCATTGTATCGAAGGACCCTTCAGTTAACCGAGACAGGCCCTGATGATAGTTGGAAGTCAGACGGTGTGCCGTCCAGTTCAGGCCAAAGCGGTTGTTTGAATGCACTGTCGGGAGTTCGACACGATCGTCTTCTAAACCAGCTGTTGTCCTAAGCCAGTTTGGAGATGTTGATTCGGATGGATCCATTGATTCGTTATGCTGTCTGGGAGTAAACAAATTTATTTTCACCTCCATGGAATCAGTCGGTTTCAGTGAATCCTGCAACAGGCCCGGTATGTTAAATCCAACATGACCATCTCTAAAACCTTCGATGAACATTCCAGGGAACTCCACTTTTTGGTGTCCAGTAATTACAGTGGGAGAGATGCGACGTAAACGGCCCATTGGAGGTCGAGATCTTTTGCTCTGGTTGGGCCCAACTAAACTCCCGATAGTGTCATTAGTACCGTCATCAAATTCGAATACTTGTTCGGACTGTTCGAAACAGCGGGGAACCGGACTTTCTAGCTCGGAGCTCCCTTCCGTTTCCGGTTCTGTTAACGAGTAATTCTCAGACACGTCACTGTCGTGCTTCCACATAGAGCTGGAGATGTCTGAAAAAAGAGAAAATAAGTGAACTAACAAATGCCAAGTGATTTGGCAAGCATGCAGTGGGGCTAAACTTGAACAACTCTTCGAAGCAACAACAAAAACGCTCCCGTCCAAGGTTTCAAACCAGTTAAACGGTGACCCTTTGGCCAAAAGAACCGATATAAACGCACTCGTTCTGCATAACCATGACGCCTCTGAAAAAGCGGGGATCGCAAGCCTGCTGTGATGCTGTTGCAGCAGCAACAGCTGATGTGTGCATAGGATAGTCGATTTAAGGATACCGGACAGTAGTGACGGAGTAGCCAGCGAAAGTTGCAGAGTCGAGCGCGTTGATGCCCACACGGAAAAATACTTATTATGCAACAGTTCCTTTTTCACGAGATGCTAGTGTGGTAAACAAGTTCATCGGAGCATCAATTCTGGTCCTCGGTTTATAATGATCGGAAGTTGGGAAGAAAGAATGAGCAACACATAAGTCCGTGAGCTGTAGCTTCCAACTTGCAAGTCACATTTCATGGAGCGAAACAAGCGAACTAAAAGCTTCCCAAGTGAGGTGTGCTTGGAAGTGCAATAGATTGAAATGGAGCACGAGAATGGTGGTCTTCCGAAGCATCGTGCCTAGCTCTGAGGCCCCTCTCTCGACTAGCCACGTCCCGTGCTGGAGGCGTTTATCTGTACACATGCACCGAATCCGAAACAACAGTAATAACACTTACTTCAAGCCTCCGACTGGGTACCCTGAATGCTGCGTTGGATACCGTATGCGCACGCTCGTAACACGCCGCATTGATCCTAGCACTTAGGCAAGCCCGCGTCGGCTGACCACCTCGTGGCCGCTTAAGCCACAGTAGCTCAACCGCACACGTGCGCACACACACGCAAGGCTTGAAGAGGCCATCACGTGACGGACATCGTGACTTGATAATCCAATGACTGGTGCCCGAACTCGTCCACTAACCACCAATGGCGTGCACATACAATACCCACCTCAGAATTAGGCCGTTCAGCTCGGTCAAGACCCGAACGTTTGACACCGATGATGTGTCACGTAGGTCTACTGAGGTCTTCGGACACAAGAATACTTCCGTACTGGAATAACTGGCAGGTAGCATTTGTGTCCAGTCGCTGAAACCCACAGAACATGCTAGAGGGGTCTGGTGAACTACACCGAAACGCACGCTGATAGAGGGCGACAGTAAGCAGGACACGTAAACTTGAGACTCATGGTCCGCATCGTGCTGCCGATATTACAATTGAGAGACAAGATGCATTTAATCTGTACGTTCGCTGGCGCAATCAGAGTAACTCTATACTCGACTTTTTCACCACTACTGTCACGAAACGTTTGCTGAGTGAGTGTAGAACCGTCAATTCGCACCGATGATGTGTACGTTTAGGGTTCCCTTCGATGTACCGTCCGATTCATATATGTAGCTCACTTCTAACCATTTCCAACCGCCTTATCCGGGGTCCGTGCCTTCTTTGTTTAACCCTGGTTTACTCTCACCTGGAGTGGTAACCAGCACCTGATCTAAATGAAATAAGTGGGCCACTGTTCCTGTGGTATAATGAGGGAGGAGAAGGGCAGATAACGGAACGGGTTTGATCTATTTCATCTTTCGTAATCCAAAGCAATAAGCCATACATTGTGACCGGTAAGAGTACCTCGACTTAATGGCTAGGTGCCGATCCAGCGGTAGGTAGGACAGCCGGACGTCTATGTTACGTACCGTCCACACGCTCCGACTTCGAGTTATGTAACGCAGTTCTATTTTACAGTGTGGTGCCTTTCAATTTAGCTAGAAGGAATTTACAAACGATGCCAACAGTATCAGATCTACCTACTCATAGTTAAACAGCACAGTGAAACGAATACGTGCAACTAAAATTCACAAATCGCAGTTAGCAGGCAAGCAGTTTTAAGGGTCCCTTGGTTTCACAGCTGCCGAACAACTTTGTGGCTCACATAGACACCTATAGGAAAGAATTCTTACTCGGTAAGAAAAAAAACCAGTACACATACATTTCAAGTAAACAGGTTAAATGGACAGTTTCTCCGCTGGTGTACTGTCGCCCTTCGTGATCCTTTCGCTTTAATCCAGTTGTTCTTGCGTAAAATTTACCCCTAACCATTCTAAAGTACATTTGACAACCAGGATTGTGATGTGATGTGATTGCGACGAACGCTGTCGGAAAACGCTGTCTTCTTAACACTTACCAGCTTGGTATCCATAGGCAATTTGGGAAATTGTTCCTCATAAGTGTTACGATGTATTAACCGTCAAGATGGCGGACCATATTCCCAACCGCTTCGCATCTTCCGAAAATCGTGGTGCATGGAAAAGGTTCCCTCACCACTAGCCAAATAAGTCCTCTTGCGAACGTGACGCTTAGATCACCATTGCTGACAGCACACAAGCTACCCGCTGATCTCGATTGCCAGATCGAGTTGTCTGAGTGCTGGGGCGTGGACGTGCATGCATAACGGTGTGTCCTCTCTGTCCACCAATATCATTGGGTACACTTTAGCTCAAAAGACAAGCGAAAAATTTATTTGTGCTCAAGCAACAGAACGGTTGCCACACATTGGTCGCCAGTGTAAAACCCCTACACAAACCACATTGTTTGAGTCTGTGTGTGTGGCACACCGAGCCAGCTACATGAGGATAGCAGCGAACAGACCGTTGTACACAACAATTTTCTACTACAGTGTGTTCCGTTTCGCGAAGAAGGGCAGCAAGAGACTACGGCTCCCAACTGTCACCTGCCACACATCTAAAGCATACATATCTAAATGCACAAACACTACTGCGCAAGAAGTATACATTTTTCTGAGGGTAATAACGTGTTATGGATGTCCTAGCCGTCAGGGTGCTAGTGGATGAAGGCAATTTAGTACTGTCCTATAGACTATCGGTGTGGAAACGCCTTGGCCCATATTACTTGACACGTGTCCCGAACATGCAGGACTGTCGATTAAACTTCACATGAAGCAAAATGGCTCGTCTTCTCGAGCAATGGACCGGCAACCAGACCCAACTATCAGATACGTACTCCCAAGTATTCTCTCGTTATCTACTTAGTACTGAACAAATGTGCAGTATACAAGTGCAATGGTTCAGTGCATTACTCTGGTATTGTGGTGAATCCCGGAAATTCCATGTAAACAGGTGAAATAACTTCAAAGTAACTGCAACAAAATCAGCTGGTGAAAAAATAGAGAACCAAATGATCTGCACTGACCTCAGGTCACGGCACCTCGTCGATTCGTCAACTCCAACGTCACCATACGCCCTCCGCGGTAGTGGTCCAACATCTGTCGTCTTCCGTGCTAGCGTTGCCTTTTATGTGACACGTCTGTCAGTCTAACGCTCACCGGCTTTCGGCCTCGGATTTGGGGTCCGTGCTGTCGCTCTGCTCCAACATTCACACGTTCACGTGGACATCACGCGAAAGGTAAAATCGGCCGCTAGTGGCACTTTCATTGAGCTGGTCCCGCGAACTAATTATGAAAGGTGAAAATGCAACGCACACTCATTGGTACAAAAGACAAGTAAAAAATCCCCGTTCCCTCGTCGGTTGGACAAACCCTGTTAGGTCGCAACGTGCTCCAGTTCCACTGTAGTAATGAGAATGTTAATGATAATAATGGATTATACCCTTTCCGGTGTAGTCAGGACATCCGGATATCTTATGACAGCATAAACACAGGAAAAAGAGGTTGTATTAACAAGGGGACTCTTGGGCTCAAAGTTTCTATGTACCGACTGGATTTGAGTTATGACAGCTGTTTGGAATAAATATCCTTCATTGTTCCTCCGTTATTTGTGAGGTGTTTTCAAGTTTCTCGATTGTAAGGGGCATGCGTTGTTTTGCAAATTCCTGAAGGAGATCATTGCATATAGATCGAGCTCTTTTTGCTTCTCCTCGGACTAAAGGATAAGGAACCAACTTACGTCACTAAGAAGAACATTAAAACACGAATATAAAATTGCATATTATAGCTCCTGATTCAACCGACAGATTCCAAAGACATTATCATTTTCTCTAAAACATAATAGACAAGAAAAAGCCAGTGTTTACTGGCATGTATTAGTTTTGGTTGCGAATAATAACCGAACACAGACAGAGGAGGAAAGTTGTATGGGCTCAGTGCGGCGGACTCGGTTTGCATCCATAACCTAAGAGATTGTACCTATTTTCAACATTCCACTATCTCAGACTGCTTTAGGAAGCAGTGATGTTGGTGTTGTTCTCTACTCCGAGCACAACTGCTTCGTAGTCGTTTGCCTATTTATGTCTAATATTAACGATTTATCACGACTAGATGTAAGGCACTTGCTTCTCCGGCATCTTATGGCATATCGCCTAGGATAGCATCTAATGGAAACGACTAGCTAACTGAACTGGATCTTCTGATACCATTACTGGGGCGTCGTTTACATCAACAACTATGATTCACTGCATGAGAATCGGATGAGACTGCACGACGCTCTTCATTTGGGTATACTGCGGATCCCTGAAATCTTTATTTGGGAAAGAATGTCACCGGTTGTAGAGCTGCCTTCCTCGGAATTGAGGAATAGTATAGCTTTATCACACCACTTCTGGGACCTTAGTGAAGACGGCCTAACTCTGTGTGGTCATCCGTGTCTTGAGCACAGCAACAACGTGTATGGCAAAGAAGGGTGTGCAGCGTTTAATCACAGCCGACTGTCAGTTATGACGGTCCGCCACCGTTACTCTCGGTTTACCATGGTATGTCTGTATTCTCTGAACGGATACTTTTGAGACTTGGAGCTTCGTAACATTGCTACACTCTGAATATTTAGGCGTTCCTATGGGGAAAGCGGAACATAGCAATTCAAAAAGCAGTCCCATTGACAAATTGTGAACTAAGCCACTTCAAAACTTAAAGAATATAAATAAATGAGAAATTCTAGGCTACCATATGCGAATTTAGTTAGCCTGGTACCATGTTATCCTTATAATCCACTCAATGGATAATGCTTGAAGCTTGGATGTCTTCCTATCTGATTCTAGGTTGCTTTGTTCGCCTAAGACGGCACGGTTTCATTGACATAACAATGATCACAAAAAGTGAGTATTCCTGAGCTTTCGTTTAGTATTCATGCTAGTCAATGTATCAACGGCACCTGCGGAGCCTAAGATGGTAAAAACTTCGTACCTTTCACGCAGAGTGCCCTCCTTGAATGGGCCTAACGGATTCTGCAGTTATTATACTTTTGTG